TTCAGAGCCCGTTGTTTACTTCGGTGTATAAAATGCATCAGTCCATTAGGTTTTCTTCCGAGGGCTTTTTCTCTGTGGTGCAATATACTTTGAAGATATATTTTGAGGTTTTCTCAACAACGTAACTTTGTCTCTAATTGAACTTTTATTGTTGCACCATAGTGTGAGATCAAAATTATTTAGACCAATCGTGGACTTTGCTGTGATCAGAAAATCCTAGTTTCATTTGCAGTCTGGATGATGCGCCCTCAATTGACAGTGATGTTATCTCTTTAGTTCTCTCCAGCGACATTTTTTTCTCATGAAGAATAGATAGTTCACTGTAGTCGAGAACTCCAGCAATTATTTGGCTTGCTTGCTTTTTTTTAACCTTCGCTCCACCTCCTATGCTCAGTCATTTATTGGTTCAAAAAAGTCTTTTTCTGTCATTTGTGATAAATGATTTTTTTCTCATCTGCGCCATGGAGAAATTGCTCAAATTACCTTCACTTCTCACTCCACTATTTCCATAAAACAATTTCTTTGTCATCTTGTTGATATGCTTTCAGTTCTATCGATTGATTGGCCCAAAATTTCTACAGGAGTTCCAGAAGAGACAAAAAGAGAAAAAACCAGGTTTTGTGGATCTTTCTCTTCCTATGATTTTTTGATTGCTGTGACATTTCTAAGCGCTGTCAAGCAACGGTTCTGTCATCGCGCATCAAATTTTTGTAATGCATGAAATAAGCAGTGAAATAGCGAGTTTATAGTTGTTTCAATCTGTTATGTACTGGATCTTTCATCTGAAATTGAAGAAGGAGGTGCCCCTTATGCTAAGAAGCTTTTCAGACTTAGAGGCTCAACGGCAAGCTTATGAACTCTTTTACGAAAATCAGGCAAAACAAGTGAAAGAGGATGGCATACGTTTTCCAAGTGAAGATATTCCCGATGAGTTTGTGGAACTTCGAGGATTTCTTTTTCCACTTGAGCATGAATATGGTAATTTTTGCAAGTTTCACGTTGCTTGACTCAATGCCAGCACGTGATTTCAGGACCGCTGAATGCTGATCAGGCATTTTATCGTGATTATTATGAAAGAATTCTGAATGGAGAAAATGATTCAGAGGAAGTAGAAGAAGTAGCGGAATGGGAACGCAGATCTCTAGCAGAGTATGAGGAAAGTTTGAAATCTAAGAAGAAGTCGAAGAAGCGGAAGAAGGTTGGGGATGAGGTTTGTTTTGATTGGAAGTCTGTCTCTCATATCATTTGAATTTTTTTCTCCATCACCTACTTAGCTTTTTCTTGTGCTTTTTTTTTTTGAAAACATAACATACTGTATAACTGATTTTATGGAGCTTCTTGTTACTTGTGCCCAACATGGTTATAAACTTTTTCTTTCATCGCTTCTAGAATATGTTAATATCATTATAAAAGTGATCTCTAAAGCAGTTATTTGTAGGCACTTGAGTCTTTTTGTTTCTGTGCGTATTTTTGGCACCTTGTAATTTGATCAAAACTTGATTTCGTTTGCAGAAAACCGCTCAGGCCGTGTGCGTAGTTTGTATGGTCAAACCATACTTCAAACTTATATCCAGCGATTACTATGTAACAGAAATA